TGACTTAAAAGTTAGCTAATGTTTATAATCAAGCCGATTTCAAGGTCTAATCGTGGACGACATACATTTGGGTGCGAAAAGTAAAGCAAAAGGTTACGAGTGTTATTGACACGTGTCTTAATTTACACGTGTCTTAATTTACACCGTAAGCTTTATTTATCTAATTAAATAATGACCGCACTTTAATTAGTACTTCTATGCATTTAAACAAATTGACGGCATTAAAAATTTACTTTTGTATTATTGATTTTAATTTTAGTTTTTACAACGAAAGGCTGATCTATTACTTAAACTTGAGGTGGTCTAGGTAGCCAGACCGAAATAGAACAACCAACATACACCAACTTACGATAAAAAGATCTAGCCGTCTTATCCAGAGAATCAGAAAAATTATTCTGTAACCTAGGAACATAAAATCTTGAAATCCGGGAAACAAATCCTCAGTGTCAGGAGTTTATCCAGTTTCATAGAGAAGCTCGGCCATTCGTGGGGGTTCCTAAGCATTGCGATCATCTCCTTGCAATCAGTCCCAAAGCTCTGACATGGCGAATGTTGAAGCATATTCTTCATTGCCCACCGCAGGGCTTCCAACTCTGAATGCAACGAAGACTCTGCTCTATCAAAATTTCGCAATCCCACTAGCTGGCTATTTCCGGAGCTATCATTCCAAACCTAACCGCACCCACTGAAAGGATCTTTAGAAGTCCAAGATACATCCACTATGCATATACTACCCATGCTTAAGGCCTGGTTTTCCTCAACTCCGTTCTCTAGGAATGGCGATGTAACCTGTTCGTTTGCTTAAAACCATGCTTGACACTCACTTTCTGCATATCGCGCTAACTTTAAAAGGTCTCTATCAATACCTCTGAACATCTTATAATTCTGATCCTTCCAAATGTACCAAATAAGCCAAGGATAAGGATCTCTGTCCAATTCCGGTTCCATTATAGAATTTTTCCTCCAGAAGAGGTAATTCATGTTCGCGTATGTGCTTTGGAGTGGAAACAACGAAGAGCTTGTAGGGTGGAAGACAGGTGGACATTCGAAGATAGCATGTGTAATCGTTTCTTCAGGTTCCCCGCATCATGGGCAGTGGTTATCACATCTCATATGTCTGTAGTTTAAGATGCTCGTAATAGCCACATGACCTGTTATTAATTGCCACATAAGATGACACATCTTTTGGGGGGCCTTAACCTTCCAAGCATGTGCTTGGAGCTTTGTGATGCTAGGTTCACATACAACAGGATCATCTTCCTTAGTTAAAATATTTCGTGCTACCCAGTATCCAGATTTAACTGTATACTGTCCATTCCTTGCATAACTCCAGCATAATGTGTCAGCGATACGTGGAGCTAATGGCCATACTCTTAATGAGTGGAATATCAGCAGCAGCTAAATAATTCGCAAGGTGGCTCTCATCCCAAGTTTTTATCACTTGATTAATCAAGTCGCTCACTCTCATGTACAGATTCACAATCGGTGCTGATGAGGTTGATGGTCTAGCTGGGATAGTAGGGATCCAAGGATCCTCCCAGACTTTCACCTAATACCCCGAGTGAACCTTGTGTCTAATTCCCAACAACAATAGTTCACGTCCTGCCGATATACTTGTCCACACATATGATGGACTACTGACTGGGAGTTTACGCAAAGGCGAGCTCAATCCATAGTATCTGTCTCTCAAAACTACCAGGGAGTCCGAATATTGAGCTAGTCTCCATAATTTCTTTGCTAGTAGCGACAGGTTGAACTCGTGTATCATTCTAAAGCCAATCCCTCCTTCCTCTTTGGATAAGCATAACTTATCCCATGATGTCTAGTGTATACCCCTTTTCGGAGGGTTTGAGTTCCACCAGAACTGTGCAATGGCACTAGCTAAATTGTCACGAATCTCCAAAGGAAGAAGAAACTAGGACATTACATAAGTTGGAAGAGCAAGGAGTATCAATTTAATCATAAATTCTTTGCCCCCTTTTGATAGCCACCTTCCAGTCCATTCATTTACTCTACTCCTTAGTTTATCTTTAAGGAACGCAAAAAGATTACATTTGGATCCACTGATATCTTCTGGGATGCTTAAGTATGTACCCATGCCTCTTTAATTTTTGATCCCAGGTGTGTTTTTGATCTCTTGTCTTACATCCTGACCGATTATTTTACCAAAGAGTAAAGAAGACTTATCAAAGTTGTTACATTGTCTTGAAGCTTGTCCATATTTCTTGACCACTTTCATTACTTCTTCACATTCACGGGGCTCCGCCTTACAAAAGAACAGGCTATCATTAGCAAAGAGAAGGTGGGATACCTAAGGGCACGCACGCGTGATGCGCATCCCTGTTATCTTTCCTTGGTTCTCTGCGTGATTTAGAAGGCTAACGAGCGCTTCCGTACATAGAATAAAAATGAAAGGGGACAGAGGATCCCCCGTCGTATACCTCTCTCCGAGACGATATTCCCTCGTGGCTGTCCATTCATCAGTACCTTGTACTTTACCGATGTTACACATCGCATTATCCAGGTTATCCAGACTTCTGAGAGCCCCATTTTTCTCATGGTGGTTTCAATGAAGGACCATTACATTCTATCATATGCCTTGCTCATGTCTGTTTTAATAGTCATTCTCTTACTGCGTCTACTCGGTTTTGTTCTTAACGCATGGAACATCTCCTAGGCAATCATAATGTTGTCAGATATCTGTCTTCTGGCTACAAAGACTGATTGGATTTCTGAAATCATGTCTGGTAGCACCTTTTGTAATCTCTGGCATAATACCTTAGAGATAATCTTGTAATTAACATTACATAAACTGATAGGGCGAAGTTGGCTCATCTGATTCGGTTTATCTACTTTTGGGATGAGACATATGTTGGTGTCATTTAAACCAGAAGGCAACGTTCCTTCAAAAAGGAATTGATTAACCATAAGAGTTAGATCATCTTTGACAATATCCCAAAACTTCTGGTAGAACAACGCAGTCATTTCATCCGGCCCTGGAGCTTTCTCTGGGTGCATTGCGAAAAGAACCAATTTAACCTCCCATTCGGTGACTGGAGATGTTAGGTTCTCATTATCTGCTATTGTAATTGTAGTGGTAACTTCAGATAATGCATTCTCTATCTCTTCAGGATTTGATGACTAAAAAATGTGTCTAGAGTAACTTGTAGCAATGGCTACCAGTCCTTCCTCATCCTCTACCACATTCCCATCTTCATTCAGCAATTGAATAATCATGTTCCTCGCACGCCTCTGTTTTGTAAGGGTGTGAAAAAATTTGATATTTCTATCACCTTTTCTTAATTAGAATACTCTACACTTATACTTCTAAAATATCTCTTCTGCTTTAAGAGCGTCAAACAATTCCTTCAGCGCTGCCGCAATTTTTCCGCATCTTCATATTGATTTTAATATTTTTTATGAGAAAAAAATTATTGATATTATTGATTATAATCTTTTAGTTTGATAATACGGAAACTATAACTATGTCGCCATAGAACGTGAAATGGTAACCGCCTAAACGCTCCTGATTCTGATATGTATGCGTGCCGTGTGTTTATTAAGAATATATAATTTAGCTAATTAGGTTTTAACTAAGTGTTAAGTACTTTAGTACATGATTAATGGATATATTTGGTCACCAGACCATCGTTATCATCAACCTAACGTTTATTCGTCGCCTATATATATGTAATTCTGTGCCATGTAAATACGTAGTGAAATTCGTTCAAAGAGTAAATACCTAGTGAAATTTGTCATGTCATCTTATTTGTTTATTTTTTTCCCTTAAAATCATCTTATTTATTAATACATCTAGAAATCATTAATATGTACAGTTATTTACAATATAGATATTGTTAACATAATTACGAAGCTGATTATGAAAAGCATTAAACTTATGCATCAAGAAAGACTAAAACATATGCGTCATTAAAGGTGATTAAGACAACTCGACCAAGAATTTGGATTCCATAAACTATTATTTAATTAGGACAAAAGTTCTCGTCTTCTAAATTTTTGACCACAAAATTTATAAAGAGGACCCAAAGACCTTGTTGACGAACGCGTCATTTAATCCTCTTCAGGAAATAGTTTACATTCCTTTTAGACTAGTCACTGGAAAGCTAGCTGTGGAATCTCATGTAAACCAACGTGTGACGTTTTGCGTTTCATACTTTAAAATTTGGTTAATTATGTTTAACAAAGTTCTTTAAGGTTTTAGAGCAATCTCTTAGAAAACTCTAAATCAACTTGATGAATGATGATGATCAGACTTAATGTGGTATAGATGTGGTATAAATGTAATTGATTGTCAGACTTTGTAAGACATATATTAAGTTAATTAGACTTTCAGTATAAACTATTTGATAATAAATAGATTGACATACTTCTCTTATATATAATTACTTAAGATTCTTTCTAATTTTTATGTACGTTTTGTCTCTAACTTCCCTCACGAAGAAATGATTTCTTTAAACTTCAATCTCATAATATTTAGATAAGAATGAACAAATTATTTTTTGGTATGAAAAATTATGGACTGGATTGGGATGCGTGAATCAAAACTCTAATACCACATTAACTTAAGATTATTTTATAAGAAAAAGGCAATGTTATAAATGACTTGACTCATATCAGATATTGTCTCTAATGATATAAATATTTTTAATTATTAGTATCATTTAAATTATTTGTGCTGTTTCTTGAAATAAAAAAAATATGTTTCAAGAAAAGTTTTTTTGAAGTTGTTGAAAGAAAGAATGGAAACGAACCAGTTGGATGCTAAAAGTTCTCGACACATTCTGACAGTAACCTTATTCTTTGTCAAAAGTTCAAACACGATAAGATTAATTAGTTCGGTAATGAAATGAATAATAGATTAAAGCAAAATGATATTTAATTTGCTAACGTTATAAGAGATCCATGCATTTTCTTATAGAAACTTTTTTTACAAAGGTGTTCTCGTTTACTGACGTCGAAACAATTTCAGAAATCTCAGACTATAACATGATATGATCTGTTGTGATCGATAGATCATGTTGAACCGTAACGACAGTAATGTTATCGTAAGGCCAAGTAGGACAGTCTGAGCTCCGGTCGATCTGATGCAACATCAAAACTTGTCTTATGTTCAACAAGGTATCGTGGAGCATACGGTGCTCCAGACGTAGACGATCATTCTCCATCTCTGTTCGTTGAAAATGGTGTAAAACGTACCGGATCTGGTTCGTCAATTCCCGGTTCTCATTCTGGAGCTGGTTTAGCTGAATGCTCATATCTTCCAAGTGCTTTTGTTTCTTCACCCTTGACCGCTTAGCTGATTCACGGTTCGATAATTTCCGTTTCTTTCTCCATTCATCGGTATAATTATCTGTTGGAACAACGTCTGGACCAGACCGGTTTACCGAATCATGGCTTTGGTATTCATGGGCCGACTCCGGTATTAGATTCATTGATGAGTCGAAGACCGAGAAAAGGTGTGAAATGTCCCATGGAGTGAACCCGGTGTCGAAAGCTGGGACATGGGTTGTTAAACCCGGTTCACATGAGAAAACCGGAGAAATTGTAGACATCATGGATATATAGAGAGTGAGATTAGAAGGAGAAAAGGGAAGAATTGCATTGTTGGAGTCCCATATTTATGGACGGGTAATGGGACTCGCACGAGGGTAGTTTGGTCTGACTAGTAAAATATCGATGGTGCTTTTTCCTAATTTTCCCTGTTTTTTTTCTTTCTCGTTTTTTTTTTATCAGAGAAAGAACAAAAGAGAAAAAGTGAGTCCCATCTGGAGTGGGACACGTGTCAATTGTATGATTATATCTTACTCAAAAGTTAATTAGAACTACATCTTGATTGCGGATGTTTGATTTAACTTATGTTCAACGTAAATTCCTAAACCGTCTGTTTTATAAAAAATTATATATATTTTTATGTTTTATAATTTACATATAGAGTTGAATCTATAATATAAATGTTAATAATAATTTTTTAATTTGTACACACTATTATATTAGAAATTTTATAATTTGATGTAATTGTACTATTCATATATTACATGTTTTTTTGTTAATTTATTTTAAAATGAAAAAACATACTAAAAGTTATTTTTTTGCATTAATTTTTTTATGAATTATCATTAATTTTATGATACTTTGTTTATTTTTGGAAAATTGAACTTTCAAAATTTATTTTTGACTAAATTAAATAATGTAATACTATATTTAAAAATTATTTTATATAATATATACTATATATTTCAGTTTGTGTTTTTATTTTCACAACAAAGAAAGAAAAACCATTGCAATTAATTAGTTCAAATTAATTTTAAATGTAATGGCAGAATTTGTAAATAAAAAAATACAAAAAGAAAGTATTTAATTTATTGTAAATACGATGGCTAAATGTACAAATAAAAAGAAGTACTTAATTTGATATCTATATTTCCAAACAATTCTCATTTATCCTACTATCCTTATTTCTAAACAGTTCCAAAATGTACTTCAGTTTTAATAATATAGATGCTAGGCTTCATTTTCTCAGTTATAATTGTTTTTTAAAATATATTGTTATAAGTTATAACTAAAAGAAAAAATGTCTAATTAACATATTAAGTAAATGACCATTATTTAAACAGTGTATTATCGACTTTACATGCGCCATACACATAAATAATAATTTTAAATATAATATTATTTTGTTTTATTATTTTTACATCTGATATTTTTATATTTTAAATTGAGCAGTTGAAAAATCATAAAATATTGTTTCAGTCTTATTTCCTTTGATTTTTAACTATTTCAGTTTGATTTTATTTAAATTTTAATAAATTTAAAAAGTACATTTAATTTTTTTTAAATTATATTCTATTTAATTATTTTTAATATGTATATATATATATATTATCACCTAATTTTATATATATGTGTATTTAAATATATCAATTCTAATAAGTTTTGAACTTTTTTTTCTAGTTAAATATGTTAAATTGAGAAAAATTAAAATTTTAATTAACCTAATGAACCGACAAATAAATTTAATCAGTTGACTATCAATTTTTTTATTAGTGTTGTTTTGATTTTGTATTTGTTGTTGCACACTTACAACTAATTTTGGTACAATGTACATATATCTATAGAGACTATGATATATAATTTGATGTAAAAAATTATATTTGTAATTATATTTTAACTTATTTGTATCAATATGATACACATATATATATATATATGTATATATCTATATATATTAATTTATTAGTGATATATGAGTCATTAGTTATTAATATATTTTAGTCTTACCAAAACAAATATTTATATAGTAATTACATTACTTATGATATAAAAATTAGTTGTCATTAGACTCATTACCATATTTAACAGAAAAAATATTTTTATATGGAAAATTATACATGTTACAATTAGGCTAGTGTCATGTCACTTTTTCTAATGACATGTCATCTTTTCTTGTTGAAACTGAATGTGGTGATGACACATAATACAAATTACTTCAAAATAACTATATTTTATTTTTAAATTAAATATCTATTTTTGTGAAATTTCCATTTTTAATTATTTTTATTTATATATATATATATATGTAATTTTATTTTCTTTATAAATATTTTCATTTTAACATATATGGTTTGGGATAAGGTATACAATTAAAAATATATTAAGAAAAAAGTAACCGAAACAAAAATATTTCTAATATATTTTTATTAATTAAGGTTATCATTGCAATTAATCACTATAAGAAGTAATGTCTGAAAATAGAGTGGATGATGTATTATTCTCTTTGAGATTCTGTTTTACAGAAAAACAAATTACAATATTGTGTTTTTCTTTTTGTGAATTCTTATTTTTAACCAAGTCAATAAAATATAAAATAAAGCACGTTTTTAATCTTATATTTTTTATTATATGTTATTTGGAAACCAAAATAAAGAAAAGGAATTTAAAATTAAAATTTAATTTACAAAGTTTAACTAAATTTAAATATATCTATCAACTATGTTAATTGAAATTATATTTTGTTTTTAAAATATGAAATTTCATTTTTATGAAATCTTCTTTTGTATGGAATTAATTGTATATAATATTACTACTTTTGAATTTTTGAAATATTTATTTAAAAATCCAGTATATAAGGAAAGGAAGCTACAGTAACGAACAATACATAAGATTTTAAATTTATTAAAGACACTTTTATAATATTTATATTATTATATTATTTAATCTCATATTTGAATAAATTTATTTAATAATGTATAAGTTATTAACATATTCTAAAAAGTTTATAAAAATATAAATTAATATTAAATGTAATTGTGCATGTCACATTTAACCGTAAGTCATGTCATCAATTTTATTATGCCATGTCATATTTCTAGTGAAAATGATTATAGTAATGATATGTGTCAAATCACTTCATAAATAATGTCTAGGCCATGAGGGGATTACTAGGGGGTTCTTAATTGTGGCAAGATACAAAATGTATGGGTTGAGAAAATATGTAACTATCAGTTGTGAAGACTTTGGATTGATAAAATTTGTTTTGAACGTTATGATTGATAACCTGAAACATCTAAGCACATATAATGGTGTTGGACAAATGCGACAAGTACAAAGACTCACGGGTATTTAGTAAGTGCAGAGAGTGATTATGAGATTGAAAGGGATAAGTTGAATGAGAGGAAAATGATGAATATTTAACGTTGTTCTATGTAGTATATGAACGTATGGTTTGATTTGTGAAGATGACGTGATGCTTGAACGAGATATTTTCGTTTTGTGTGTTTTGAGCATTTATAGTTAGAGAGAATTATGATTATCGTTCCAAATAGGAAGAGGAGATGTGAGTATTTAACAGATTTTTTGTTGTGTGATAGAGTTTTAGTCAAATGATTTGTACTTTCTATGTATTATTGGTATTTTTAAAACTAAAAAAGGTTTTACTTTCGTAATAGTCCGATTAGTAATTCTTGTAGTAATTTATATCGTTGTATAACTTATTACAATTATTTTTCTCCGTAGTCTTTTGCTTTTAGAACATGTGCATGTATAAATCTCGTTATCAAAGTTGAATGGAAAGTATATGTTTTTCGGTTTCGTTAAGATTCCTTTCTTTTCTGGTATATGTAACAGCAAATATAGTTGGTGAAATCTACGGTTTGAGAAAAAAGATAAAGTCATGGACCAGACACGAAGAAAAAGTATCATATAGCATATAACAAAGAAGATATGTATACATACATTAGGAATGCTATGCAAGCATAAAACTTCGTAACTAAATCAAAATGATGGGTTATTGTAGGGGAAATATATAAAATTGTTACTAAAGTGGCAAAAAGACAACGACCTAGGATCTATCTATTAAGTAAAGTTACCTTGAAAATGATATATTATAGGTTATCTTTAAATCTTACTTTAAGTTAATATGCTATACTTGATGTTACAACGTATACGTCTTGTTTTATAGATGCATTGGAATAAGTTAAACATATATATTGTAAGAAATCGATGGCACAAAGTTTTGTTTTTCTTATCTACAGTACTGGTGTAACGGTATATCTTTCAAAACATTAGTTTAGATGGATTCAAGCTATACTGAAGCTTAATTACGCGTGTGAGCTTAACTTTACTGAAGACCAAATTTTACTTATGATTACTATCATTGATCGTCACTGACTATTAGTACCAATATAAAGGACGGGAGACGGAGAGAGAGAGAATATTCTTCATAGTACGTAGTTTTCTTAACAGCAAAGCAGGTTAAAAGAAGCCGTTCTTGAGGAATACAACTAAAAAGCATCACTATCAAACTCTTCCAACTTTATAGCCTTTGTTTCGAGTTTGTTGGAGATCATGTTCATGTGCACGACCACTTTAACCTTTTTATTTTAAAATTTCAAAAACTAATTAAAAGTTATTTGCAACCAATGTTACAACTTTCTTTAAAATTAGAACTGACCAATAGTTATAAAGTGGGAACGCAGACAATGAACAAAAGAAAAAATATGTTAAGCAAAAGCAATTACTTTTTTTTTTGAAATATTTTTTTTTTGTTTTCATTTTGATGTCAAACACCATGTATTATTAACTCAGATCGAAGAAGCTGGCCTTAGGAACCAATCATATTAGAATTACAATGTCTACATAAGAGAAAATGAAATTTTGTGAACGAACTCCTTTGACAAGGAGATCAGCTCTTACATTTCGCTTTCTTGCAATAAAAAAATAGAAAACAGTAAATGCAGATCGAATATGCATGAATTCATTCCATTCTAAATCCAAAATTAGCCAATCTTCTTCATCATTAATCAGCTTGACTAGCTGAGACAGTCCGATTCAACGAACATTGAAGTTAATCCTAATTTCAGAGTACTTTTCATTGCATGCAGCAAGATATGAAACTTCACGTGCAAAGGCGACAAAACCTGGCCCATCCCGAAAGCACCATAGGTATGGGACCCCGATTCAAAGTCGAGAAAAAACCCCCTCTGAAGCTGCATGAGTTTGTCACCCAAGATGCATCCACTTGGTATCTTGGCAGAGGTAATTCACTCACAACATCTTC